ATTTTATATTTTTTATATAATATATATTTATATTATAAAATTTTTTTACAAGTTTGGATAGGTTTTTGACGAGAATGTTAACCATTATAAGTTATAAATTTTTATTATCCCCGTGTCATTAATTTCACAATGTGGAAATTCATCATTGCTCGTGAAACTATGTGAAAAATATTCAGGCCAAAGAAAAGGACCGTGAAAGTGTGAGAGAGGGAAAAAATAAAGAAAGAAAAATACGAGAGAAATAAAAAGAAAGAAAAGCCGGTTGCTCGTATCAAGTCGGTGATGTACATAGACAACTTTGAAGTGAATACATGAATAAAAAATATGGCGTTACACACATCGACCTATTTCGATTTTTTCCTTCTCAATTTTTTGACCATGAATATTAAAAGAAGAATTATTCGTGAAATGTTAAGACCAATTATCTTTATCCAGTTTCAGAAAAAATTTTAGAAAATGATTAATCGAAATATCGTATCTCCGTTTCTGTTTTTCTGTCATTTATTTAAATAATTTTAATTATTTAAATAATTAATTAAACAAAAAAATTTCTTTTTTATTCCTATTGATAAATTAAAGAAATTAAATGATTGAAAACTCAAGTTCATAATAAAATAATATTTTTATTATCTTAATAGATATATTTATTTTTAAAATATATATATAAAATTTTTAAAAATCATTGATTTTTAACTTTTTTTTGATTCATTTAAATAATTTTTGAATAAAAAAATTTTTTTTTATTATTATTACTTTTTTAATAAGTTTAATAAATTGAGCTACAATTGAAAACACAAAAAATTATCCTAAGAAAATAATTTTAGCACTATAATATATTCATTAACAAAATATATAAAATATAAAATGGTAAGAAATAATCAATTTCATTTTTATTATACAATAAAATTTCGTTTTTATATTTTTATTATTTTTAAACAAAATTTTTTTATTTTTATTTAGAAATTAAATCATAATTAAAATCTCAGATTTCTAAAAAAATTCTATTTTATACAATTTATTATTACTATACATTTTATTTATTTATTATTCATTTATTATAGCATACATATTATATATAGCATACATATTATTTATAAAATATATGAAAACTTATTTTTCAAATACATATATCAAATTTTATTTTAATAGTTTAAATTTTTATCAAATAACGATAAAAAAATTTTATATAGAAAAAAAAATTTCTTGAATGTGATAAAATATTGTAATATAGAGAATAATTAATTTAAAAAATCTTATTGTGATTAATTGTGAAAAAGAAAAAAATTTTTTGTATTGTTCAGATTTATTTTACATTTTTATGGGATTTAAAATGAATATAATGGACAAATAATAGTAGAAAAATATTATAAAATTAATATGTATATAAAGATGTAAAATAATCTGCAAATTTTGAATAACGGATATAAAAGCCATCATAAAGTAAAGATGGGCAAAGAAAGAAAGAACGAAAGAGAAACTCTATTTATTTTGTATGAAATTATTATACTTAACAAGCACTGTCTTATTACTATGCTAAAATATTAAGATAAAAATAATAAAGAATAGATGAATTAAATATATTTTCAATAAAATATGACGAGTATTTTAATCTTATAATATTTAATATTTAATGCATAATATAATTTTTAATTTTTTATTTCATATAATTTTACATATTAATTTTATATTAATTTTTATATTAATATTTTTAATATATTTTTATATTTTTAAATATTATGATATTATATTGATAAAATAGTAAAATTCATTGATTTTGAAATAAATAAAATTCTTATAACATTGAATAATATACATAATTAATATTTTTTTAATAATCTTCAAGATCATTATATATATTACGAGGAAAAAAAATTTCTCTAAATTAATATTTTTTTGTTAAAACAAATTTCAAAATATTTTATTTTTTCTAGTTGTATCTGTTAATCAACAATAGATACGATCGATATATTCCAAAGTTTTTTTTGAAAATAAAATACAATCAAAAATAAAAACTTTTATTTCACTTTTCTATTCCGAACTTCATCCTTCATTGACCTAAAGCAACAAGTTTCATTTGAATCTCCGAAACGATAGAAAGCAAATAACGAAAAAGAAAAAAAAATCAAAAAAGGAAAATCATCAAAAATGTATGAATAAAAATTAAGACAAATTTATAGTGATTTAGTAGAAAAATGCTACTAAGAAAAGATAATTTATGTATGAAATTTTTTTATGAATTAAAAATCCTCAATAAATTTTGTATTCCATAATGAATTTTATAGAGTTGATTAATTATATAGGATGGATCAATTAAAAAATCTTTAAAGCGATAATATTTGATATTTTCTACATTTTTTTATCTAATTAATGTTCAAGATTATTTTTTTATTTTTCTTAAGCCCATAATTCTCCTTATTTATCAATTAATAAATATCGAGATGAAATTCAAAAACAAACATTCTCTTATTTAATGAAGAAAGAGACTAAATATAATTTGAAAATTTTTAGAAATGACATAATATATATATATAATCTTAAAAATATTCAATCTGAATATTTCGTACTTAAATTTTAACATATCATTCTTCATCATAAATTTTATTTTTTTTTTAATAATTAAGCTTTTATTATACTATAATATATATATAAAATAAACATATATATATCAAAATTTAACATTTAAGAAATTTAATTTAATTTTTCTTTTTTTTTATCAACATAATAATTTTCTATAAAATATACCGAATATTTAATGTAGTTGAATACTTTTGGAATTAATTAAAACACATTTAAAAAAAAAAATTATACGTCATCATCTGGAAGCTTCTTCAAAACCATATTATCGATAACAATAAAAATTTCGCCAATTTCACCAAAAATAATTTGATCATCCATTCTATATTTTATATATATAAATTTTTCTATTAAAATCTAACTAAATCTATAAAATCTCTCCAAGTAAAAAATTTTCTCATCATAGATATCACCATTCTTCCGAGCTCTCGATTCGATCTAATTACGAATCGATTATTCCATGGAAGTTGATTCGATTCAAACTCACCGCTCAGTGTCCTCGTGCGGTTAAGTTTCACTACCCTTCTGATTAGACTGGACGAACACTCGTGCAGAGCACGATTCGCACTGAGCTCGCACGCGAATCCGGACTTCCTCGTGTTCCTTTACCACCACTTGCTCGCCTTCCTCGGCTTTCTAACTGATACGTCGGTCACGATGCGCAACCTCGGAATATTTATGCCACCATTACCCCCTCCGTTATCCGTTCCAACCCCGAACGAGCTTTTCGAAACGAAAATTGTTTCACGACTCGGGAGATACCCCTCTCTTCCGCCTCGTCGTTCATTTCTTCCATTCCGACAAATCTTTTTTTCTTATGCAAATAAACAAACTATCACGATATCTTTAATAAGAATATTTTCTTCTTTTATAAGTAGTTAAGACTAGGAAAGATTAAATATATGAAAAGTTTGAGACGGCAATGTGTTCTACGAAGGGGTAATTTTAAGCGGAATTTTTTAAATCTGTAAGGTTATCTTAATTTTGATTGATTATAAGGAAAGATTTTGCAATTATGGTATGGATTTGATAAAGGCCAAAAAAAAGAATATTATAATTTTGGAAAAAATTCTTTCATTTTGTCAAATAGATATGTTAATTATCTTTTCTTATTTTATATTAAAAAATTATTCCTAAATTAAAAATTAGGATATATGATAGTAGTATTAAAAGAGTAATAATGAAATAAAATGAAATAAAATATAGGAATTTGAATTCTTAAATTTTAAATTTGATTATGTCTTTTTATTAGATAATGTTTTATGTTACATATCATACATGTATAAAAGATAGATTTGCGAAAAATCGTTAAAATAATGTATTTTAATATGAAGAATAATTTTAAGCAAATATTCTTGAGATTGCTTATAAAACTTTGCAATTATATAATAATATGGATTTGATAAAAGTATAAAGAAAAATTTATCGTTTCGAAAAAATATTGTTATTGATAATATTTTTTCATTTGATAAAATTTGATCGAATAAATTAGTTATCTTTTCATGTTTTATATTAAAATTATTTCTAATTTAAAAAAAAAGATATGAGATTTTGATAGTAATATAAAGAAATATTTAAGAATTTGAATCTTTAAATTTTGAATATGATTATCGATAATATTTTTTCATTTAATAGTTTTATGTATATTATACATATTATAAAATATAAATATGCGAAAAAATTTGAGATCGTTAAAATAATATATTCTAACATAATAATTTTAATTCATTTCGGAGATTGTTTACAAAGAAAAAATGTTAATTCGATAGGATTTTAATGAAAAATATAAAGAGAAAATTAGAATTTTAAAAATTTAAGATATAATTTATTATATTAAATTTATAAATTTATTATATATAAATTTTTT